ACTTGGAAACTGCCCCAAACAAACTCGACCCTTTTGCACCATGTTTTCCAATATGTTTAATAAAAGAAAAGAAGCAAAAGAGAAGAAAATAATAACTTAAAGAAATATTCCTTCGTGTAAAAGAATGAAAATATATCCTAAAAGTAAAGCCGTTGAAGTTTTACAACTTAAAGTACCTTGTGCGTGAATGAAATTCCTCTGTGAGCGTCCTTCGTGCAAACGCTGCCTCAAAGAATTCAGCCTCTTTCGTAGACTTCAGAAAAGTTTTTTTTCTTGAAACTTGCTTCTGTAAACAAAAAGGAGTATTTTCAGTCAAAGGAACATTGTTTAACAAATAAAATGTATATGAATTGCAACCTTGTTCCCGAGGTTTTTGCTAACCGCGCGTGTTTGCTTTGAAGTCCTAGAACTCTACATTTTTTGTGTAAAAAATGCCTTAAAAGCAATTTTTGAAGGCTCTGCAACCTAAATATATGTGTTACTTGACAATTGGAAGAGGTACACTAATTATTTCATTCACCTTTTTGAAATTTTAACTGAGACCTGGTGTCAGCTTCTTGTTGAATTGACTGAGGATCGACAGGACCCAACTACAGCTCGGACGGAAATTTCAATTAAATTGTAAAAAGAAAACTACTTTGGACTGCACTCACATGGAGACCATAGCAAAGATTACCTAAAAAACACAAAATTAGAACAATTAAGTTAAATTTTCAAGAAAAATAGAAGAGAACCTCTTACTTACTTGCAGTCCTGACCCCGAATGAAGGCGTGTTAAGAAAAACCTGTATAATGTAACATTCTTGCGCGCATTTTCAAAATGAGCCAATGAGAAGCTTTTGAAATAAATGAAAGTTTTACTACGACCAATCACAAAGTAGGACATGACACTTGAGTGACAGTAAGGTATCTGCGGGGTGTTCATTGCTAGGGTCGCGTGTCAACCATTATTTGTCGGTATTGCTCACGTTTTCGATCGTAAAACGCGCAAGACCACTTCGTGGAACACATCCACTCCAGGCTACGTCAAATGTGTAGAATTTAGCCGTGGAATATATTTTGGTCAGCGCTGTAATTGATTTAATAGATTCTGTCACATTTTCCCATCATTTCTTTTTAACATTTGTATTGAAGCGAAAAATCTAGCATTCGGATTCTTCGGATTACATTTGTGAATTTGTAAGATTGAAGGTCATTCAGTATTTTAGAAAAAAAAAGAAAAAAAAAAACAGCCTGGACCCTATAATAAACTAATCAAGACAATAAAATACATATTTTTTTTTATTGATTTTTATAGTCAAATGTTGACAGTGGTGGTTGTAAAAGTATTCTATGTAAAATTCTTATAACATTATCTAGCCATGACTATTATGCTCTGTCGACTTGCTCTTGATCCTGTGATCTTTAGCCAATGAAGTTCATCACAACAAGATGGAGGATTACACTTGCAAATATGAAGTCACCAAAGGCTCTTTCTGGAGAAATTCCCTTGAATTCAGCAAAGTTGGCTGGATTGCTCTGGACTCTCAGGCATACTGTTCAAAACAAATATCAATAGTGTGAAATATTTTACTGAAAAGAAAAATTAATTAAACCCCTACAAAGGTGAAGAACTTGAACATGTGACTTGTCAATTGAACATAATTTCAATCTTTAAGCAGCTGTGTCCAAGAAGATCTTTATTCATTTTGTGAATAATAGTCTCCTTCAAAGTAACCTGCGCCATCTTGAAAGGTAGCCGTGCCTTTACATCGAAGCAAGACAACCATT